TTCCTTAACTGATTTTCACAGAGGTATAGTGTTTATGCATGTGCAAGCAAAAAATATTTATAAAATCTTTTTTTTTTTAGTGTATACAATAGCTGACCTTTGTGACAATTTTCCTAGTTCTTTGATAGTAATTTTTGAGTTCCTGAACTTAGATGACAAATCCTCTCAGTGAGGCTGGCCTAATTCTATGTTCTCTATGGCACCTAGTCACTATGGATGTACAAGAGCCATTATTACCCAAAGTACCATCATAATGACCAAGCCCTCCTGTGACGTTATTGTTTTCTATCTTCCAGGACATTAATTGCCTTCTAACTTGTTCTAAAATTGGTAGGTAGGACACACTGCCAAGACTAGAGAGAAGAAAGCTGCTGATAATATATTAAAGGGCTGTGTAAAGGACATACTGATACCTCCTTCTCATTGGAGCATCTTTACATTTGCATATTACTTCATTGGTTATGGGGTATTAGTTCAAGCTTGCCTTGTGTCTTGGATTCCATCTTATCATGGTCAATGTCTGATCTTTCCTTCAGCTGAATGATTCAGACATCTCTGAAGTTATTTTGGCTTTTCCACTTTCTTTTTACAGGCTTTTTATGAGTCATTGAATTGAAGGGGAGGTTATTTCTAAATTGGAAGGTGAAGATGAGAGAAGGGGGAGGAAAGTTCCAGAAAATAACTAGGAAAAGAAAGACACCTTGTTGTTATGTATAGTTACCCGAGGAATAATTTCCGTTTAGGTTGGTGATAGAGGTATGTAGAAAATCGACAATTTTTTTTCTGGATGATGTATCATGCAGTTTTAGACTCCTTGTAGCTTGCTCTGTAAAGGTCAGGAAAGTAAATAGAAGGGATATGGGACAAGGAGTTAGCAGAAAGAAGAAAGGGGCAAACACAAAATTTCCAAAGTCTAGATTCTTGATTCTGCACAAGTTTCCAACTATAAAATAATGCTTGTGAGTGGACTACCTCCTTGATCCATTTCTAATCCATTCCTGGGTATATGTGTCATGGCCCATGGGTTTGTGTATGACAGGTGGAGTTGTGAGGAAGGTACATTTAAATCTGATTTAAAATTGAAAGAGTAATCAGGACAGGATTTTGTTATTTAGGAGCAGGAAAGGTGGGTGGAAATGGAAAAGAAAAGCAAAAAGCTAATGATGAATATATTTCTGGGAGCACAAGAGTTTATAGCAACACCAGATTTCTCAAAAGTGCCTACTGTGATTTGTACCCAAGTGAATAAAAAAATGCAATCATTTATTCTTCTGCATTGTGCCCATGTGAGAAGAGAACTGCAATTCATTCAATGGTCCTAATTTAGACTGCTAGGAAGAGGAGCGAGTGCTTAGGAAAAAAGGCAAGCTTTTTAAGTATCTGACACACATCTAGTAGGGCTATTCAAGAACTGCTGAACATTAAAATCAAGTTGGGGGGACGTGGGGGAGAGGAATTCTCATTTCCAGAGCATCACAGGGTAAAATGTGGCCCATTTAGTCCAAACTTGCTGATGGCTGCCTCGTCACTTCGCAGTAGCCAGTGAGGGGTGAGTCTGGAGGCTGGAGAACTCTCAAAGCGGCACTTCAGTTTATTAACGACGTTGTAATTGCAACCGAAGCGGACTGATTTCTGCTAAATAAACGGTTGTGCTTTGCCTTTTAACATGGAGACTTCCGGGAAGAACTTCAAGGAAACTGGGCACATTGGGAACTCAAGAAAGAATGAGAAATGCATTTGTACAGTGCTTTTCTCCCAAGGAATGGGAAGCACTTCTTAAACACAACCTCTGATGTTGGTGTTTTGTAAGTACTACCCTATGAATAAATGAGCAGTGACCAGATGTAGAAAGGGATGAGTTTACAGAGTAAACCTTACAACAAAAGAGTTAACCCTTCCTCGGTAACCTTAGGCGTGAGCTTCTGCCCTTTCCTGGCTTTCTACTGCGCAACCAAACTGTGCTTGCACCAACCCAGGCGGTCACCTCGCTTGCCAGTTGATTTAACAGACACTTTAGACAGCCTATCATAACTTGGAACTGTCCAACCATCAGCCAATCATAACTGAAGCTTGGTCTAGAACGCTCCCAGGTCCGGGCAGGAGCTAACACCGAGTCCAGGAAAAGGGGCGGTAAGGAAGCTATGACGGACAGGTAAACCAAGCCAATTAGAGCAGAGAGTCGCTGCCTCACTATCCAATGGAGAGGTAGGAAGTATAAAACGGGGTGGGCCTGTTGTCATGGGGGAGGTGGTGGCGCTTGGTGGCTACTGGCGGCCGAGGTAGAGGCAGTGGCGCTGGAGTTGGTCGGGGGCAGCGGCAGGTGAGTGCCGGTACCGCGGGTCTGAAGTCTGGGGGCCGTCGCGGGGCGGAAACTGGAGCTCGGCGTTCCGGAGGCGGAGGCCAGAGGAAGGGGCCCTGGACTGCGGGCCGGGTCGGGCCGGGACCAGGGCGGAGGC